TTAGATAGTTTTCTTTTCAAATTGTTTGTTGTTTGTATGTGAAAACATGACCGTTTTTGGTTCATTTTGTATCCTGCTACTTTCCTGAATTCACTTATTAAATGTTTTTTGCAGGATTAGAATCCTGCAAACAGAGATAATTTTACTTTATCCTTTCTGATTTGGATGAGTTTTGTTTCTCTTCCTTGCCTAATTGCTCTGGCTAGGACTTTCAGTACTATGTTCTGTGTTCTACTAATGCTATGTACTATGAATAGAAATGGCAAGAATGTATGGACATCCTTGCTTTTTTCCTGATCTTCGAGGAAAAGCTTTCAGTCTCGTATTGTTCAATATGGAAGTGTTCCTGCCTCTTTAATTTTGGGGGGAGAGTTTAAGGATTGGTGTTAGTTCTTTTTTAAAATGTTTGGTAAAATTCACCTGAAAACCGTCTGGTCCTGGGCTTTTCTGTGTTGGGAGGTTTTTTCATGGCTGATTCAATCTCCTTCTTTGTTATTTGTCTGTTAGGTTTTCTATCTCTTCACGATTCAGTCTTGGTGAGTTGTATGTTCCAGGAATTTGTTGTGATATAATTATATATAGTTATCTCTTGTAATCCTTTTTATTTCTGTGGTATTGGTTGTGATGTCTCCTTTCATACTTTGCTGCTGTTGGATGGAATGCTCTTTATATATCTGATAGTCCATTTGGTCTATAGTGTTGTTCTTGTCCTCTCTTCCCTTGTTGATCTGTCTGGATGTTATGTCCATTATTTAAAGTAGAGCAATGAAATCTCCTACTGATATGTGTTCCTATTTTCCCCTTCAGTTCTATGCAGTTGGGTATACATATATTGCTCTGATGTTGGGTGTGTATATATTTATATAGTCTATCTTCCTAGCGAATTGACTTTTTTATCGTATATAATATTTTTTGTCTCTTGTGACTGTATGTGTCTATTTTGTGTGACATAAGTACGGTTACACTTGCTCTCTTTCAGTTACCATTTGCATGGAATTCTTTTTCATTCTATTACTTTTAGCCTATGTATGTCCTTAAATGTAAAGTGAATCTCTTATAGATATTACATTCTTCTATAAGAATCCTTATAGAAGGACTCTTATTTATATCTTGTTTGTTATCCTTTTAGTCACTCTTTGTAAAATGTGTTTTTAATTGATTTGAGAGAGAGAGATAGAGAGGGAGGAAGGAGGATAGAAAGAGGGAAACATTGATCAGTTGCCTCCCACCCCACCGTACTCCCCCACATGCCCTGATCAGGGATCGAACCTGCTACCCAGACACATGCCCCAACCTGGAACTGGCCCACAACCTTTTGGTGCATGGGAGGATGCTCCAACCAATGGAGCCACCTGACCAGGGCATCACTGTCTTTTGATTGAGGAGTTTATCCCATTAAAATTTAAACTACAGATAGGAAAGGACCTACTATTGCCATTTTGTTAATTATTTTCTGTCTCATAGCTTTTTTGTCTCATTTCTCTGCTGTCTTATGTCTCATTGATTTTTTTTTTTGTAGTGACATGCTTTGTATCCTTATTCATTATTTTTTATGTGTCTTGTATAGGTATTTTCTTAGTGGTTACCTTGGGGCTTACAGAAAACATCTTGTAGTTATAACAGTCTATTTTGAACTGATAACAACAGCTCCAATTCCATACAAAAGTTCTACTTTTTTATTCCCCACACTTTATATTCTTGATGTCACAGACTACATCTTTTTATATTGTGTATCCATTACCATATTTTTACAGTTATAGTTATTTATACTTTTGTCTTTGAACTTCTATAACAGAACTAAAAGTGGTTTATGCTCCAGTATTACAGTATTCTGTACTTTTCTATATATTTACTGTTATCAGTGAGCTTTATACTTTCATATGCTTTTGTATTGCTTTCTAGTGTTTTTTCCTTTCAACTTGAAGGACTCCTGTTAGCATTTCTTATTAGGCAGGTCTAATGGATAAACTCTATCAGCTTTTGTGTATCTGGAAAAATTTTGCTTAATATAGTATTTTTGGCTTTTTTTTTCCTTCCAGCACTTTGAATATATCACCCTTCACCCCTTTGACTTTCACTATTTTTTTGCTGATAAATCTGCTTATAGCATTATGGGGCTCCTTAATAATCCCATCATTTTAAATTAATATGTTTACCAAGGACTTGGATTCTGAAGGAGAGTAAAGAAAGCATTGAGTTTCATGAAACCCCAGAGGTCTTAACTCATGGAATTATAGGGCACTTACTCCGGAGTGTAGAGAGCCAGGAGCAGAGGAACCAAGAGCTCATATGACCTCTCAAGGAAGCCGATAAATACACATGTATGTTACTTCATTAGGAAAACAACAGTCGTGCTTCATGTAAAAAATTTCCACACCTATATAGCTACATCTGTCTTTTCCTGATGAAATAACACCTGTTTGGGATTCCATTGACCTGAGGATTTCATTTGGGTTATAATAGCATCAAGAACTGTATTAGGCCTAAGAGAACTTACTGTAAAAGAAAACATTACTGAACTTGCCAGAGAAAATAAACACCCTTACCTACTTCTTTAGTTCTAAGGCTCATAAAGGAACTGTACTCTTTAGCATAGACACAGTTCTTTATTTCTTTCCTGACAATATAATTAAAGCAGTTTTTTAAGAGCCACACAACTAAATAAATTATTTTATAAAATGCCACTAAATGCGCTGCTTGCCCTTCCCAGAACTCAGAATCTGTCAGTGCCTGGGTAGAACTCTTCCCAGAAGGGGTAATTCATTGAGAGACACACAGACAACCCAAGATAACCTTTTGTTTTTAATTAAAATGGGGAATGAGAAGCCAATTCAAAAATTTGTCTCCCTTCATTTGCTCAAGGTGAGGATGATGGAACTTCTGTTCTAACAGAGCACCAGCAATTGTTAAAAGTCATAAATCTGTCTATAGCCATTACATGCATATCTTTAAATGCTGCCCTGGTATAACATGATCAGGCTCATTAATGAATGAACTGTTAACTGTTACATTTTTGGTGGTAGGGTTAAGATGTTTTTTCCTCCTTGAAATTGAATTAAAGTATATACCTTCTAAGCTAAGAAGAAATAGGCTTTCTAAGATTACAGCAGGTAGAGAACATTCAACAAATTCTAGCCAACAAAACTAAAATGCACTATATGGAAACTAAAATTTTTGTGCATGCTCAAGTAGTTTCTTGCTCATAGTAGGTATTCACTCAATAATTTTTAATTAAATTTTTAAAAGAATATATTACAATATAATTCACATTCCATATAATTCAATCAAAGTGTACAATTCAATGACTGTTAGTATATTTACAGAATTGTGCAAACATGATTACATATAATTTGAGAACATTTTTATCACCCTTCCCAGCAAAGAAACCTTGTACCCATTAGTAATCACTCCCCATTTTTTCCTTCACCGCCCAATCCTAAGCAATTACCTTCTCTCTGTATATTTGCCTATTCTGGACATTTTGTATAAATGGAATCATACAATATGTGGTCTTTTGTCACTGGCTTCACTTTATACAGTGTTTTCAAGTTTCATCCATATTGATTCCTATTCCTTTTTATGGGCAAATAATTTTACATTGTATGGCTAGAATACATTTTATTTATCCATTCATCAGTTGAACACTTGGGTTGTTTTTACTGTTTGGCTATTATGAATTATGCTGCTATGAACATTATGTTCATGTATTGTGTGGATGCATGTTTTTATTTCTTTTTAGTATATGTTTAGAAGTAGAATTACTAGATAATACGGTAATTCTCTTTAACCAGTTGAGACTTTTTTCCAAAGTATTTGTACCAATTTACACTCCTACTAGCAGTGTCTGAGGGTCTCCACATACTTGCCAACATTTGCTATTGTCTGTTTGCTTTTTATTATAGGCATCCTATTGGGTGTGAAATAGTAAATCATTCTGGTACTGATTTTTATTTGTGTCATGGCTAATGATGGCTGAGTATCTTTTCCTGTTTTTACTGGCCATTTATCTTCTTTGGAGAAATATCTATTTAGATTCTTTGTTCTTTTAAAATTGGGTCATTTGTCCTTTTATTATTGAGTTACAAGAATTCTTTATAAATTCTGGATACAAGTCCCTTACTAGATATATGATTTGCAAATATTTTCTCCTATTTTGTGGGTTGCCTTTTCATTTTATAGTATCTTTTGACATCTGAGTATTTTTAATTTAATGGCATCTGAGTATTTTTTTCATTGATCTGTATTTCTGTTCTTATGCCAGTACCACCTTGTTTTCATTACCTTGGCTTTAGAGTAAAATTTGAAATTGGGAATTTTGAATTCTCAAGTTTTGTTCTTATTTTTCAAGATTATTTTGGCTATTGGATTCCCTTGCTGTTCCATATGAATTCTAGGATTACTTCCTTAATTTTGCCAAAGAAGCCAGTAGGGATTTTGGTAGGCATTACATTGAGTCTGTAGATCTACTTGGGAAATATTACTATTTTAAATTAACACCATTAAGTCTTTTGACCCACAAATGTATTACTCTTTTTGTTTTATTGTGTTATGCATAGGTATTGAAATGAGGACCTTGCTTATTAACACCCCCTCCTTACAGTAGAACTGATTTTAATTATTTCATATTGGAATAACATAATTGAATATTTCAATATGTGGAGTTAGTTTATTATTTCTATATCCTAAGTGTAGCTGCTCATTAGAACTATAAATTTCTTTGGGGCAGTATATATCTTATTAGTTTTGTGTTGCTTAGAGTAATGTCATAGTTGCTTAAGAAAAAACATTTTTTTTGATTGGTGTCTGGCAGCTAATTATATAAGAGAGAGAATATTAGTGGCGCTATAAAATTACCATCAACAACAAATTGCTAACTGTTTCTCAGTCTTCTAATTCATATATATTTATAATACTCCTTTGAATAAAAATGAATAGTGATTGCTTTCCAGGTTGATTTCCTTCATAAGGCATAATTAATATATTCTTTAAATTCACTTCAGGTACCAAATTTGATTCCAGTTTTGATGTTCAAATTGGGAAGACCACTGGAGCCTGCATTATACATTGATATCTTATATACTTTACCTACACTTGGTGTTCACAAGGTTTGTATATTATCCAATTTACTTGAAGGAAAAAAGAAAGTGAGTTATGAATAATACATTGAATTTTGGTTGGTATCATATGAAATTTTGAGCCTTTAATTTTGTTGTGATCACTGCTTCCCTTGTTGGGTCAAATGTATTATTAAGATATCTGACAAGTAATTCTTTTAAATCAATTAATAGCCAAGTTTTTCCATTGGTTATTATCTGAAATAAGGTCTTTATGTTCCTAAGATTGCTACCTAACATCTCAAAGATACCCCCAACCTTTGAGAAGATGTTTAATACTGTAGTAAACTTCCATTTAAGTCTTTATTTTATGATGAGGGGGGTTTTAATTCTTTTGGTAACCTGGGGATTATGTACATTTACATCTATGAAACCTAAAATTTTAAAGTATTTCCTAGGTGTGCATAGGACAAATTCTACGAGTAATTCAACTTCTTGGAACCACTCCACAACTACGAGCTGTCACTTTGCGCTTGTTGACATCTTTGTGGGAAAAGCAGGTGAGCTCAGATACACACTTGTGTAAGTATTAAACATGTTTTTTCAGTGAAGAAAACTGACTTTGTCATTATGTATGGCGGTGCTTTGACATAGTAGTATTAGTGTGCGACATCAGTGACCGCGTGGGAGAAATTTGATGCAGTGTGATGCTTGTGATCAGTAATGCAGTCAGTTGTGATTGACTCAGAGAAATGGAGACTGGGAAATAATCTTATTTCTTTGATTCTGAAATATATTTTTCCGTGTGTGTGGGAAAGTAATACAAATATGATAATAAGTGATTAGAGCCTTTGTAATTAGGGTGAGGTTTAACCACTTTTTTCTTGTTTTATGAGATGAACAGTGCATGGGACTGTAAGAAATCCCCTGCAATCAAAACAGCATTCTTCCCTGCTGATTAGAAGAAAGACATTATAATTTGCAATGCAAATGGGAGATTTGGAGAGAAAAATGCTGCATAACAGGAAATAATGATTATTCAACTCAAATTGGGAAATTGCCTTTTTGTGAACTTGTCTTTTTAGGATCGTGTCTATCCTGAACTGCAGCGGTTCATGGCCATGTCTGAGGCACCCTCTCTGTCCGCGGGCAAGGAAGTCCAGTGGGAGAAACTGATCGCTAAAGCAGCATCCATCAGAGACATATGTAAGCAAAGGTAAGATGTGCTTATCCCTTGGGAATGTATATCATGATTTATTATTTTGCATTTATTTATTATTTTATTGCAAGCAAGAATCTAGGAAAGGTGGGTAGAATATATTTGAGTAAGAATAAATTAATTTTCAATTTAAGTTTTCTGATTGTAAAATTTAGTAAGATTGGAAAATAACTTTGAGAAGCAAGCATGTTTTATATCTAATCTAGCTTTGTAGGATATTCATATCCTTTTCTGGATAGCAATTGAATATTGTACTAAAGCATATGAGTTTACATATTTTATTTTTCCTTATATAAATCCCTGTGACCTAAGCAGTGGACGGTAGTCCAATTGTCCTTATATTCTCCCAGTGTTGTGTTGATTTTTATAGTCTTAACAGAGAAGGCCTTGTTTGTGACCCATTGCATGGAGTTGATTATTAGGAATTACGACAAGGAAGGAAATGATCTTGAATTCCCATGTATGCTCTAGGGTTTAGGAGGATATGGAGATATTAGAGAGATGACCCTGCTGTTCTAGAGTATGGATTGATAAATAGGTAGGAGGGGACACGGCTGCATTAGCACCAAGCAAAGCTCCAGCGTTTTTTCTTGAGTAGAATAAGGTAAAAATATTTAGGGAGGAAATAGATTTGAGACATTTGAATGAGTTGTAATCCTGCGATTCCATATGTGTCGCCTCTGCACTGTAGAATTCTGGGGGGACATATCTCATTTTTGTCCGTAATGGCACTGTGAATGGTACTTCTAAAGTTGTGCAATGAATGGGTTGGTCCGCATGCTGCTCACTGGCCCAGGGAACCGTATTGAGTGTTTCAAGAAAAATCTCGGATCAGACTATATCGAAGCCTCAGCATTTCTGCGTCTCTTCTAAGCCTCAGCCTTTTGCAAATACAAAGATGACCTCAGTCTAAAAGTTACACACATGCAACACAAGACCTGACAGTCTGGATGCTCTGGAGGTATTGACATGGGAAAAATTTTAGAGATGAGAGATTATTATCTGACAGTTTAATTTTGCATTCGTAAAGCTGCCGCTCAGGAGAGAGTCTTTTGAGAACTTATTCAGTGCTCCTTTCAGTTACCCCCTCAAGATCCATCAGTTTTCCAGTTTTGGAAAATGATTTCTGTTTGTCAGGACAGTAAAACAATAGAATTCCAGTCAGGCAATTTCACCAGTTGATATTTTGTCCGTTAGAGAACAGTATTATATCACTGAAGTAATGCAGAGGCTGTAATAAGTAATAAGTAATGCAGAGGGTGACCTGAGTTAAAAGCCTTCTGTGGATAGCACAACGTATGTGGAATCGAGAGGAGAGGGAGGGGAGGAGGAAGAGTGAGTGAATTCAGCACAGTGCTTGGGTAGATGCTCTGTCAGTTATAATTCATATCATCATCATCATCATCATCATCATCATCATTATCATTATCATTATCACATTGTGTAGTAGGTATAGCCCCTTCAGTTAGTATCACTACGATCATAAATGACCTTCTAACCTCCAATACTGCTTTTGTAGTCAGTGTCTGATACCAGAGCAACTTCTGGGCAGGCGTAGCTCTCTTCTTACTGACAATCTCACTAAGATAAGTCAGTTCTTTTTACCATTGATACGCTGGAAATTTTGTCAGTTCAGACATTTATGATTTTGGGAGAATATATTTAAGAAGTGTCTTCCTTTGGGGATCATATTTCTATATCAAAAATGTGCCTTAAGTTAGAGCAAAAATGACACTGATGATCATCTTTGAAGAAAAATACATGGTGTTATTATTTGAGGGTCAATATTTAGGAGGCAAAAGGGTAAAAACAAGCTTTAATGCTTTTTGTTCAGACAAAAGATCAGGAGACGGTAATAGAGCTCTCTGGCTGTCATCTCTTTCTGAACTGTCGTTTCCTGCAGGCCCTATCAGCACGGTGCAGACATGCTGGCCGCCATCTCCCAGGTGCTGAACGAGTGCACCAAGCCTGATCAGGCCACCCCAGCGGCCTTGGTGTTACAAGGTCTCCATGCACTCTGCCAAGCCGAGGTAGGCTCTTTGAACTGGCTTGTATAATTGTGAAGAAAAGAATTTACAAGGTATATTAGTTATGAGGATGTAAGATTAGATTCAAGTAACTGAAAGTTTGAATATTCATTCCCAGGGATTTTGGGTTGAAAGAGTGAAGCAAGACCTATTTTACCCATTCTTTGTAGAGAGGAAACTTGAAACATCTGGTTATGTAGACATTCTCTAGAGAATTATTTATTCTCTTATTTATTTCTGTTAATATAGAAGGGAAAGTTATGCTGATAGGAGAATTCTTGAATACATTTGCTTCTTAGTTTCGTGATTAGAGAGCCTTACAAGCGGATGAGGTGAAAAGGTTGGGATGGACTAGCAGTGGTTCTCAACCTTCCTAATGCCGTGACCCTTTAATACAGTTCCTCATGTTGTGGTGACCCCCAACCATAAAATTATCTTCGTTGCTACTTCATAACTGTAATTTTGCTACTGTTATGAATCGTAATGTAAATATCTGATATGCAGGATGTATTTTCATTGTTCGCGACCCACAGGTTGAGAACCGCTGGACTAGTGGCAGTTTCATAACCAGCAACCATTATTGCTGGCTTGCAGACTGGCTAAGGAGCCTTGCTTTCCTAGTGATCCGTTTGGATGCATCAGTGTTAGAACTGAGGCTCGAACTCATTTTCTGAACTTCAGACAGCTCACAAATGACAGCCCAGCAGAGAGTCTCTGCTGCTGGGAGATATGCAGTAATGGCAGCAGTGATCCTTCACTAACCACACTTTGGTTCTTGCCAGAGTGAACATACCTACACAAAATTGTGCCTTTTTAGAGAAAGAGACTAAGTAGAATTATTTTAGCTTGTGGTAATTATGCTTGATATGATGGTAATGAATGTAATATAATACAAGCAGTGGCTGGATTGAATGTTCATATGCTCATGTCCCTGTGCTGAGCACTTTTCATTTATGTTCTTCAACAACTCTGCAATGTAGGGATTATAACACCATTTTATAGGTGAGGAAAACAGGCCTCAGAGGCCGGTTAGATATTTCCTCAGGACCGGGTCTGAGAATGAACTAATGTTCTTTTGGGTACACACTTATTTCAGCAGGCAGTAAACTCCGCCGCTGCACGGGAACTGTGTGCGCAGAGGGCAGTGTTTTCAGTGCCAGTAGTTGGCCGAGATTTTAGGGTTTCATGGAGGAGGACTATTACAGCATAACCAAGGACTTTGTATTTTACCGCTCCCATCAGTCCTCTAGAATTAGGAAGTATCACCTTAATCATTATATTGTTTTCATAAAACCTTGTCTTTAAATGAGGTTTTAACAGAATCTTTGAGAGGAGAATTTTATACACTCACCTTCAAAAGGTGCCCACTATTATAATTTTGGAATATTTCTCTTTATTATTTTTTCTGAACAGAAATCAACTTATTTCTAAAATTAACTTTTCCCCCTAAAGAATAGTCATTTTGTCTTATTGTGCCTACAGTCCCGCTGGGTTCCCCAGGCCTCCTCTGCTGTTTCCGTGAGGCTCTTGTCTGTTGGTGCTTATTAATGCGTAAGCTGTCCTCAGAGTGCGGTGCTGTTTTTCTCATTCCGTTTCTCTAAGATATTCACTGTAGCTCGTACCAGAGATATGAAAAACATTCCCTGATGTGGTAGAAAGCATCTTTTACAGGCTGAGACGATCCCATGACTGTAGCATTTATTAGCTGTTTCCTTTGGCTAATTTACTTACCCCCCTGAGCCTCTGTTTCTTCAAATCGAGATAAAATGCGATTACACACAAAAAACACTTCGCGTAATATCTGCCCATAGAGGTGCTTTTTAAGTGTTGAACTTGCTCCAGAAATATTGGTACACAGTTGGATATAATCAATGTCATCAGGAAGGTTTTAGATGGTTTTTGTTTTTGTTTTTGAATCTTTTCCCTAAAACTCACGCAATGATAGTGACTTAATTTCTTTCTCCAAACGGTCTCTTATCCCTTCACTGCTGGGGCTCTTGGTGCTTATTTCTATACTTAAAGGAAACCACTCTGGATTGTTGAATTTTTAGCCCCGAATCCATTCCCCCAACCCAAACTACTACCCATAATGGTAATTTTGAGACCACGATTATACTGTCTAAATCCATCTAGGCTACTACAGCAAAAATAACATGAACTGGATGGTGTAGCTACAACACACATGTATTTCCCACAGCTCTGGAGGCTGGGAAAGCCAGATCACGGCACTGGCATATTCAGTGTCTGGTGGGGGCTGCTTCCCGGTTCATAGAAGGCCACCGTTCTCATGATGGCTGTCTTTTCACTGTAGTCTCACCCAGCAGAAGGCACAAGACAGCTCTCTGGAGTCTCTTCACAAAGACACTAATCCCAGTCATGAAAACTCTCCCCTCATGACCTCATCACCTCCCAAAGATCTGTCTCATAATACCATCATCATGGGGATTAGGATTTACACATATGAATTTGGGGGTGACACAAGCATTTAGCCTATAGCAACTAGAGTACTTCTCACATTTCATCTGTCCTCCAGAGGAATTGAAGTATCATGTCTAGGTATTTCTTAAATAAAGGTTCTTTCTTATTTTGATACATCAATAATCCTTTTCTTTGCTCGATTAAAGGCATTTCTTTTTCTCTTAATGTTATGAAATCAACATTCAATATAATATTTTTATCAAAGGCTTTCCCATCCTTGCCTGAAGTAGAGAGCTTTTGGGGGAAACTTCAACTGAAACGTTGCAAATGAAATAAGAATTCAATATGTTATCTTCCTAACGAATAGATGCTATCCCCTTTAAATCTTTGTTTTTTTTTTGTAATAAGATGAGCATTAATAGATCCTAAAGCAATACCAGCAATCAGTTAACTTCATTTTATTATAAGGAATACTTACTTCCTTGTCTCTTATTTGTCATCTCTCTTTCTTGTCTAGAGGATGAACCCACTATTTTATTGATACTTACTAAAGGTGACAAGTGTTATTAACCATGTTTTCCTTATAGACATTACAAAAGTCCTGAGTTGTGAAATTTGTTGAAACTGACTGCATCCCTGTTAATTTTGATTTAAAAATTATTCTTTTTTATGTTTGGTAATGAATAACTTTATATGTTCATCTAAATAAGTAGAATAATCTATCCTCCCTCAGTGGCTTAGATCAAGCATGTTAAACTCGCTGCCCGCGGGCCGCAAGCATTGTTTATTTGGCCCATGTTAGCCTTTGAGTTTGACATGCTTGGCCTAGATGGTAATCATGTATCTTTCTGTTTTAAACCTTTCTAAGCTTTTTTTTGTATGTGTTCATCAGTTGGGAAACTGCTGCTGTTATGTCCTGTGATGTGTGTTAAAGTTGTAAAATATACTCAAGTCGGTGGCCCTTGTCAGGTCACATTTACTAATTTTGGGCTAATCTTTTGGGTGTGTGTTTTTTTGCCAGCATGCTGTCCACAGAAGCCAGCATGCATTCTGTGAGGCTGTTTATTCTGTCTTCTAATTGATTTCATGTGTGAAACATTAATGGTTGCCAAGAGTTTCAAGAATGAAAATATTCAGCGTAGTTATAAGTCTGTTTCCCTGCAGCATTTGGCAGTGATTTGTCTGTCCGTTGCTCTTTAGATCCCTGACTATCAAATATAATTAAGAATCTGGAAAGATAACCTAAGACAAAGAAACTTTAAAAATCAATAAGAGTAAGAGAATGAATTGAATAATCCTGTCTTTAAAAAAATACCTCAATTGGAAAACCATACAAAATTGGATTTTACTGAGCTTTCCCATCCTTGCCTTTGTATAAGAAGTAGAGCTCTTGCCCAGCTGGCGTGGCTCAGTGGTTGAGCGTCGACCTATGAACCAGGAGGTCACGGTTGGGGCCCCAAGTTGTGGGCCCAATCTCCAGAGTAGGGCATGCAGGAGGCAGTCACTCAATATTCTCATCATTAATGTTTCTACTTTTTTCTCCCTCTCCCTTCCTCTCTGAAATAAATGAATATACGTATTTTTTAAAAAGTAGAGCTCTTTTTCTAAAAATGGACAATCACAATTATGAAAGTCACAATCATGAAATTCGTTTGCCCTTGGTAGGGTCAGATTAAGCCTGCAATTACTGCTGCTTAATCATTTATCATGGTCTCCAGAGACTGAAAGGATGGATTCCACCTCAAGGCCAACTCTGACAAAATTGTATTTATAATATGGTTTTCTTTGGAGCTACTTTACTGGACAAAAAAATGGAGAGAGAAAGGTCAAAGAATCTTGGTAGATAGTAAAGACAAGAATGCAGTTTGGCATTTTGGAATTGGAAAAGAGAAACTTTTCAATTACCTTTTTAATACTATTAATATATTGATTCAGGACTTCACAATTTTTCTTAGGCTTAATTACTTAAAATATTGCTAATATTTTTGGATTCCTTGTATGAATTTGGACATTTTGTAATATGGGGATTCATTTTACACTAAAAACAAAACAAAACAGAGGTTCTGGAAATTTGTCTCTTTCTAGGGTCATATGGCTAAAAAATGAAAAGTAGACACAAGACTTCTCCAAATCTAATGCTCTTATGTTATTCCGAGCCTAATTCCTTTGAAAATTATGGGTATTGAAAGGTTTTATTTTCAAGCTGAGGGCTTGTCATTTTCAAAGATAATTTATATTATTGAATTCTTTTTTTAAATTTAAATTCTTTATTGTTTAAAGTATTACATATGTCTCCCTTTTCCCCCATTGACCTCTCCCTGGATGTTCCCAACCCCCAGCACATACCCTCCCTCTCCTCCCACCCCACTGTCTGTGTCCATGGGTTATGCTTACTAGTATATGCATGCATATAAGTCCTTTGGTTGATCTTTTACCCCCACCTCACCTTAGCCTTCCCTATGAGGTTGGATGGTCTATGCGATGCTTCTATGTCTCTGGGTCTATTTTTGTTCATCAGTCTATTGTTCATTATATTCCACAAATGAGTAAGATCATGTGATATTTATCTTTCTCCGACTGGCTTA